CTGGCCCCCCGACCCCAGCTGGAATTCCTGGCGGAGCCGGAGCCCAGCCAGTACCAGTGCCTGGAGTGCGGGACCCTGCTGGTGACGCCGGGGCAGCTCCTCGAGCACCAGGAGCTGCACCTCAAGCTCCTGGGGGCCGCCGGCACCCCCCCGGAGCCCCCCGCGCCCCCGGCGCCCCCCAAGGCGGCCGCGGGGGCCGCGGGCTCGGCCGGGATCCACTTCGAGTGCCCCGAGTGCCGCGCGCTGTTCCAGAGCCAGGACTCGTGGCTGGCTCACCGGCAGGGCCACCGCGGCGGCCCCGGCGGCCCCTCGGGGCCGGGCCAGGCCCGGGTGGACGTGGAGCACTCGTACCGCAAGCCCGAGGAGGGCGAGGCCGAGCCCGGCGCCGGGGGGGACGCGGCGGTGCCGGCGGCGGCGCCGGCGGGGGCCGAGTCCCTTCAGCTGCTGCTCTACGAGTGCGGGGAGTGCCTGCAGCTCTTCCAGAGCCCCAAGGACTTCCTGGAGCACCAGGTCACCCACCTGGCCGCCGCCGCCGCCGCCGCCCCCCTTCCGGACGCCCCCGCGGCGCCGGAGCCGCCGCCGCCGCCGGCGGAGCCGCCGGAGCTCCGGTGCCCCGAGTGCCTGCTGCTGCCGCCGTCGGCGCTGCGGGAGCACCAGCGCCAGCGCCACGCCCGCGACTGCCGCTTCCTCTGCCTGCTCTGCGGGGCCGCCCTGGACACCGAGGCGGCGCTGGCGGCCCACGGCCGCGGGGCCCACGGCGGGGTGGGGGCCCTGCACCGCTGCGCCTGCGGCAAGGCCTTCGCCAGCATGACCAAGTTCCTCTACCACCGCCGCTCCCACGGCGGCGTCGCGGCGCCGGCGACCCCGGAGGCCGTGGAGGTGGCCCCCGAGGCGCCGTCGGAGCCGCTGCCCTGCGGGCTCTGCCCCAAGTCGTTCCCCGGCGCGGCGGCGCTGGCGCGGCACCGGCGCTTCGTGCACCGCGCCGAGCGGCGGCACCGCTGCCCCGACTGCGGCAAGAGCTTCAAGAAGTCGTCCCACCTGCGCACCCACGTGCGCAGCCACACCGGGGAGCGCCCCTTCCCCTGCCGCGAGTGCGGCCGCGGCTTCCACAGCCGGGCCAACCTGCTGCGGCACCGCCTGGTGCACTCGGGGGAGCGGCCCTTCGAGTGCGAGCTGTGCCACAAGCGCTTCGCCCAGAGCTCCACCCTGCGCCAGCACCTGGGCACCCACCTGCGGCGCCTGCCCCACCGCTGCCCCGAGTGCGGGCTGCGCTTCCCCCGCCCGCACCGGCTGCTGCTGCACCGCGCGCTGCACACCGGCGAGTACCCCTACAAGTGCCCCCAGTGCGGCCGCTCCTTCCTCCTGCGCCGCCTCCTCGACGTCCACCTGCTGGCCCACGCCGGAGGGCAGCCCCTGCTGTGCCCGGGCTGCGGGGGGGCCTTCGCCTCGCCCGCCCGGCTGCGGGAGCACCGCTGCGGCGCCAGGGAGGGAGGAGGAGGAGGAGGAGGAGGGCGGCGGTTCGAGTGCGGCGTGTGCGGCAGGAAGGCGGGCACGGCCGCCCGGCTGCGGGCGCACGAGAGGTCCCACCTGCCCCCCGGCGCCCGGGACTCGCCGGAGCCGCGGGAGGACCCCGGGGAGGCGGCCGAGGCGACCCCGGGCCCGGCCCGGCCTCGGCCCAGGGGCACCAAGAGCCTGGAGTGCGGCGAGTGCCGGAAGCTGTTCAGCACCGAGACGTCGCTGGCCGTGCACCGGCGCATCCACACCGGGGAGCGGCCCTACCCCTGCCCCGACTGCGGCAAGGCCTTCCGCCAGTCCACGCACCTCAAGGACCACCGGCGGCTGCAC